GCTCTTGGACAGACATGGTCTCGTGTCCAATAGATAACGGTTTTTTTCTCCTGAGATAAAACAGCCACAGCTTGAATGTGAACTCTCATTTCCAATTAGTGCTACTGTCCCTTATGTCGTCATGGAATGATGCTTGATTAATTACTGGAAAAAAATTCTTTTTTAGGTTAGGTTAGGTTCATAGATGACTTAAGAATATGATTTCAACTGTACAGGTTACATAATATGAAATTAAGTTTTGCACACTTGAACTTGGTCAGAAAAGGAAGAGAGGACTTGTAGGGGAGAAGTGAAGGCACAGTTGTAGACTTCGGCCGTGGGAAAAAGAAAATGAAACTGGGCCAGGGTACCTAAATTCCATGTCAAGAACTGAACTATGTTTCCTCTAAGGTCAGATGCATATCCTGCTTAATTCATCTTCCTCGATGCAATCACTCTAACTAAACTATGCGCAGAATACAATTCTGTGTCTCCTTATTACGTAATTTTCTTCGGCATCATCCTACTTCTTCGCTTTTAAGTTCAAATATTCTCCTCAACAGCCTGTCTTTAAACTTCCTCGATCTGATCTGTGAAAGTAAGGGACTCATCCTGTTATATAACATCTTAAGTATTCTATGAACGTAAAGTGAAAGGTTCTCATAAATTCATTGTACAATTTAATTCACTGAATTGTTGCAAAAAGGTCTATTTGACTATAAAATCCGCGCGTATTACTGAGTTTTCCGTCTTTTGTCCGTCATCTGGTATTCTAAAAACGCGCAGCATTTTGAACACCAGATCTTTCTTCATTCCTATTTGCAAAGAATGTTTGATTTGATGAGCTATTCTGAGCATCTTGATGACTTTATTTCAGGGCACAATTCTTTGGCCACAGGAAACATTTGAATTTCTTCTGTACTGAGGTTCCTGTTTTGATTTGATGTATTTTAATTTCCACTTCAACTATTGACTTAGTCTTGATCTTCATTAGCAATTCCATAATTTTTACTGTAAACCTTTCTATTAACTCTCATTGACAAAACTTGATCTCAGATGCTCGTGTAAGTGTTTTGATTGGACGTTTTATGGTGAATGACGTTGGCTTTTCTAAAAGTTCCCTTTTCCTTACACCTGAGGACAGAGACAGATTCAGTCTCAGAAATGTTGTGCTTTTAATTTTTGGAATACCAGTCAATGGACAAAGTCCAAAAACTCGGTAACTGTAAGACGCCACTGTCAGATTATAAAGTCCGTGACAAAAACAATATTCTAGATTTCATGCAACATAAAATTTTTCACCTTGATAATGATGATGTTGAAGGAAGCGAGGATGTCGCGTGTGGTCTTGCTCTGAGCAAGACGCTCCTGCAGTTCCCCTTCATGTCGTTTCACGTAGGCCTTGGCCTGCTGCACAAGCCGCAGCTTGCGATGCATGCCCCATGGCTGCTGTTTCACGCTGCTCAGAACTTCTTTGTGCAGACGGAGGTTCTCGTAGATCTGCTCCTGTGTCATGCCCTCCTCCATTGAGATGGCAGTACTAGCAGCACAAGAACAGTTCAACATTCATTTAATGTAATGATTCTTTTTTAATATCAATATTTTGTTGGGCCACTCTCGTGGTCCACTGGAACGCATACTCACCTAGTATCTGAAAAACACTGTGTTCAGTCCCAAAAATAATATTACAAATGAAAAGTAGCAGAAGTATACCATTATAATAACATAAAAACACTGAAAATGAAAGCGGACATAACTTAAAAATGTAATGTATATTAAAACATTGTATACATCAGACAATGGACAATACCCAACACATGAATAATAAACAAACCACTGTCACAAACCTGCAGAAAATCTCTGTTATTAGAAAATAAAGAAACGACCTTGTACATTCACCTTGTAAACATTTTAATATCTAACTCTTTTGACAAGAACTATATTTTATTAAGTACATGAAACACAGCCCTTTTTGAAGAATGTTACATGTACTTCCCATCTACCTCATGTACACATATGCTGCATTCACATCTGCTTCACGTCTTCCTTGATTTAATCATCTTACTAAGTATTAACTTTAACCACCTCACTATTTAATTTTCTCGATCATCCTGGTACTCCTCTCTCCTTACGTCGATATATTCTCGTCAGCACCCTGTTCTCGAAGACAGTCACATCGGGACATTCCACTAATGTGACATATTATACACAAAGTCTACAGGTTCACTTATATCTCAGTGTTATAAAATCAGGAACACACAACACCTGGTTACCATGTTGATACAACAGTTACTTACTTGCCTTGCCGCCATTCTGAAACCGAAACAGTGTCTCACTCGCCTTGCCGCCATACTGAAACAACAACAGCTGATCACTCGCTTTACGGCCATGTTCACACAACTGGTACTCACTCGCCAGAGCTTGACGTGAACACCGATGACCGACGTCGGATGCCAGATTGCCCGCTATCCACATCTGGCGAAAATGGAGAAGAAGGGCGCCTGTTTCGACGTCTGCTCTGCCGTCGTGACGTGGCACGACGCTGGAGGATGGCACACACACTAGCGGAATAGTCTTCCTCATCGTCGTCCTCAGCATCTGCGTTACATACACGTTTCAGGCATTCTTTCCACCTCTGCCTCATAATTGATTCTGATGTAGAATTTTTTGGGTTTGTGGGATTCAAAAGGCATCTACAGCGAGGGCTCAGACGGAACCGTCGGACGCTGCTTCTGTCAAGTCGAGCCGATTCATAATACAGAAGTTCCCTTCACGGCTACGGCGTCTACAGAACTCACTGCACCATAAAAATATTAAATAAACATCCACGTCCGAGTAGGATTCAAATCCGTGCGCGTGGCAACTGGGATCAGTTGAACGCTGATTATAAAACGTTAAACTTAAAACAAACATAATTAGTCTTTTAATGTTTTAATGTAATAAAAATATCCTCAAAAGATGTTAAATTGATTTAAAATTTTGAAACACAAGCACTTTAAATTGTCACACATTAATGTAGTACACTAATTTAAGTTGTCTATAAACACATTCCTGTTAGATGTTTAAATATTTTCTTCAGTCTCTCCAGCCAAATGTCGGGACAGTAGGCCTACCTTAAATTACGCCACTACCACCTCCTATCATGCTCTTTCGAATTCATTATTGACTTTTCTTCCTACCATTTGACGCAATATGAGTTACTGAAATCGTAGTTAAACCAGAAATACGTAAATAAATAAAATTAATATCACGGTACATGGGAAAGCAATTAAATACATTAATTCCTGTGCTCTTATTTGTGTTATGTAAGAACATGCTGATAAACAACGCAAATAAAAAACGCGGCTTCTGTATTTTATGTTGGGGACATAACAGAATTTTTATATACTGCGTGTATTTTGTACATAAATTTGACATCAGGTGTATTTAGACTACACACAGTACACCAGAGTGAAAGAAGTTGCCTCTGTAGTAAGGCGAAATTTTAACTCTTCAAACAGAAAGACATGACATGACGTATTTTGTGGGATATTTATCACACAAATAATCTAAATGAGCGTGAATTTCTCACCCACTCACCTACTTTTCCACCCAAATTTGCGCATTTTTAGAAAAAAAATATTAGGACTGATGTCTTTCAAATTAATCACTGTACTGTAAAGACAAATGTTCTTGGGTTTGGGGGAATAATTTGTCGTGTGATATTCAACAATACGTATCGAATGGTCACACTTATGAGAATTTTTCGGATAAGAAAGAAAGTTGGAAAACGTAAACATTTCTTACGTTTCCCCGCAAAAACGCTGCGGACACTTCTAAAAAAACAAATAAATATATAAATAAGAAAGCTGTCCCACTACACGCCATGTAGGCGCTTGGGGGAGAGGTAGTGTAGCTCCTATTCATTCTTAACCTCAGCACTAGATGGGGGTGAGTGGTCAGCATTACGATCCGGCCGCGCTTTGCCCCCGGGATAGGACCCCGGTACTCATTGGATGGGAGGCTGGGTTGGCCCCAGAGCCGGTCTGGACGCAGAGGCTAGAGGAAAAATCCCCTGCCCCCGTCGGGGATCGAACCCCGGTCGTCCAGTCCATGTAGTCAGTCACTATACTGGCAAAATGAATACGTAAATAAAAATGAAGGAACAAGGGAAAAACGAGTGAACGTGAGTGGCGACCTGTGACGGTAGGTTCCCGTGGGAAGTGCACCTTCTCCGCAGTGCTGACCGGCGGAGAACCCGGTGCGAAGACGTTCATCCTCACGGAGCTGTCGGAGCAGACACTGCGTTCCTCTGGGGCGAAGCTCACCGACAGGCGGTCCACTGAAGGCTGCGGCGAGGCTGGCTCCACCTGCAGAAAGAAGATAAGTCGATGCCTGGCCGTGTCATTCAACCCGTTCGTCATTCCACGGCGGACGAAAACTGAAGCGAAGTATCCGACAAAATCCCGAATACAGGTCGGACGCCTCTCTAGATCAATCACCAAATTGGACGCTTCGAGGTCACGTAAGAACTTCCCTATACCCTAACGCGCCGGCTCTAAGTCTTCGAAACTAAGCTACGCTGAGAGTTCCGAGCTGTCTTCACTCGCCTGGACTCAGACGTTCGTGTGATTTTGGCGTGAGATTGAACAATATCGGTGACGGATTTTGTAACGCTGTTGTCCATTTATTAATCCAATAATAAAGTTTCAACGAGAAATATGTAATGGCTAGAACTTAAATTCACTTCAGCGTACGATCATAAAACTTTCTTTATGATTGTTGAAGTCTTAAAATAAACGATTTCAGTTATTGTAATATTTGTCTAAATAAAAACAGTAGCATTGTAATAGCACTACAAAGTTTTTATTCTGTAAGTGACGAATAATGTAACAAACCACGCTGTATATAGTACCTGTTATAATTTTAAAAAATGTCGCACATACAGGCAACACTTTGGTACGCAGTAGAAAAGTCAAACGCATATTTGCTTTGTAATGCAAATGTCGACCGCGTGTATACGAAACCCAAAAGAGTAACGTATAAAAACGCTTTAAAAGTCCGACGTTATGTTAAAAATAAAACGACAGACAAAAGAAATACAAAGGTCATTCGAACAGAATTACAGGATCAAACGTCAAAGAGTTTTAAAAAAGACGTAAAAAAAATCTCGGACCAGAGACCGGTTGTCATTTCTGAGATTTCTCGTGTATTTCCTCAATTGCTCAAGGAAAATGCTCAGATAGTGCCTTAAATAGCCACGACCGCTTCCTTCAACATTATTTCCAAATAATTAATCACTGAAATCCTCTCACACGACGCAAACGAGTCTAGAACTGAAAGTGTCGTTCGATAAAACTAAAATTAAAATAAAGATAACAGTGTCGAAAGTGGAAAGAGAAGACCGCGTAAAGAGATTGAAATGGGAGATTATGTAAGCTTTAAAGAAACAGAAAACAAACGAAACTGCGATAATAAATTCGGAATAAATTTCTTTGGTGTGGCCTTAACGTTGTCTTTCGGGGATTAGACACGTCGTCTACTGAAGGTTTTCCGTTTCGGGGAAATATTACAGTTGCCATATAAGATAACTAAGATTCACACATTATCGAATTTCAGCGTTTAATTACAATAATTTATCATCCATCACGCTTCAACCGATTTTACGCCATAAACAATCATTTTATATTGATCAGATTAGTGAATTTGAGAGCAATTCTGGGAACGGTAGTCTAGCAAATAACTTGTTTTGCATTTACCCAGGATAAAACCCTGGGCATCCATTTCATTTCCTTTAATGGCACACCAGAACTGAAAGAATAAACATGAATAATAATATTAAAAGAACTTATTCAAATATTTTTACTGGTTCTGTAAGTATACGCGTTGGTTTGCTAGTACGTGCTAGTAGCATTCCACTCGTTCGTCACAGGCACAGAAGCAGAGCTCTGTCCGAGTAGGTTAGCCGGGTGAACTAGCTGTCAGGGGCATTACTGAAAAGTGATAGTACTCAATCCGAACTTTCAACTCTGACGGGTCAGAGAGTTCCACCCCTTAACCTCGGCACCAGATGGAGGCGAGTTGGCAACTTTAAGCCCCTAACACATTTACCCCTCGAGAAAGAGTTCATAAAACCCATCGAATAAAGCCAATTACCGGCGTGGACGTCGCGGGAAATAAAAAAGAATGATCACATTCTTGCTAGGAATCGATCTGATACAACTTAAGAACACTACAGACTTAATTTAACTGTATGTCAGATTGTAATTAGATTATACTTCGTGAAGACACATTTACAGAGTCAGTGGACTAGTCACTCACTACTCTTAAACGCACGCTTTAAAGACCATGAAACTTCCGAAAGGAGGCCCTATGCTCCACTTAGGAGTTACAGGATCAAAGACACATTTAACAAAAGCCTACCTGCTTATCATTCAAATATTATCTGAAATACTGAGTAAATACACAGTCAAAATCATGTCTTCAGCGTTGTAATTCCAACAAAACACGCTAAGTGCCATACTGACTTGTGTTTATGATCTTTGTGCTCAATGACGGTAGTCCCTAAAAAAATGTCACTGTCACTCCTGTAAGCTGCCAAAATCCATGTCGAAAGCCATCACAACTTTGGACCTGGATCGGTTCAGACCCCTTACATTCACGTTTGATCTTCTAACACCGATAACATCGGGCGTTTCCGAAGACAAGTCAGGAGCACGGATCAATTCGCTTCGACAAACAGCAGATACAAGAAACGCACAGTAGAAACTTTGCGATAGCCTTGAGAGAGGGAGAGAGAGCCACACCCTATCCATTCTTTCTTACACCCCCCCACCCCCAATTTGAAATGCTCCTCATTAATCCAGGATGAACGAAATCTGTGAAGCAGTCACGGGGTCGCACGTGGCTCATGAGCACATATATGTCGTGTCGTCAAAGAACCAATAGCAAACGAGGTCAAGGAGTTGTGACCCACCCTCTGGAATAAAAGTAAAGCCCCATAGAAAATTCCTTTCTATGCAGAACGTGAAATAGAACTTATTGGCTGACTCGACAGGCAGAATGTCTGGATGTTTGCGCTGACGTGCGATGAGAAACAGAATAGTAATAGTAGTAATTACGAAGATAAGCTGTTATGCTAATTAATGTCACGTTTAAACATGAAACTGATACCAGTTGATGTAATACATTTCTGCTCACATTTCGTGCGTGATCGCTCATAGATAATAGCAGATAGGCAAAAACATCAGACTCTTATTACAAGAGGTCACGGGTAAAATCCCCAGAAAATATATTACCGTTCTCAATAAAGCGGTTTATCAATTCACCTTCCCAGGTCCTTGGAAAAAACGTGTCATCATTTGATTCGTATAGTAGATCAATACAGACGCCATATAAACTACACAGATTATTTAAAGTGGAATAAACCGTAAAGACAAAGATGTATTATGGTTAGTAAATACATTTTATGGATGAATCGTAGGGTATATAAGGACGCAATAACATCTTCAGAGCTTTTTTTTGGCGAGTACTTGTTAACTTTTCAAAGAAGACTGGAAATAAAAAACAGTTACGTACGTGATAAACTACTAGGACAAGCAACTCAAGAAATTCAGTAAAATAGAGGTTAAAGGATGTAACCTCTATTGGCAAGCTGTTTTATAAAATGTTCGTAATATTAATATATGATATATGTTGTTTATAAAATGCTTCTAAATTGATTTGCGTGAATAAATCGGAAGACAGAGGAGGGCAGATCCACGCAGTACATCAGTAAGGGTTACGAAGCAGGGAACAGGTGTCCAGCGTTGCGAAATAAGAGCAATATAAGATGTTTCAAGTCGAACAGAGCTCCTGATCGATTGTTGTAGGAAATCGACTGCAATACGTTTTGGTTTTATCGTTACCTCTACAATGGCAGACTCAACAAGCGTTAATCCGATTTCTGCCAAGAAGTTCATTACATAAATGGAAGCAGAAAAGGGTCAGATTTTCAGTGACGAAATCGCGATAAGAACACATTATTATCTCTGTTTTATTTAAGTACTCTTAAATGAAGTGGATGAAGTCTGGAAGAAACTTTGCTAAAGTCTCAATTAGTTTTAGCTCGTTCACTGAATAGAAAAGAACAAGTTAAAAATAACCAACAATGAAGAACCATGTAACAGGTATACGACGACCTAAGCCTTTAAAATCCAATGGTAACTACATGTACCACCTGATGTAACAGTCAGTAATTCTGTGTTTGGCCCGCTAGATGTCTCTGTCAGTTTCATAAAATTCACAGAATAAAACAGCGATTTGTATTCCACAGACGGCATTAACTGATTAATCTTTGTAATTGTTACGGGTTGTGTCTGTCAGTACGGACGGACGTTTTGTCGGTAAGGCGGGTTTAACAAAGGGCATGTTAATTTTATTACGAAATACAGGCAAACATGTGTACATGGCATTCGCGTGACGTAGTTGGGCTAATTCCCACCCATGTCTGTGGATAATGTGTGCTAGTAGACGTTCTGCGAAACAACTGCTCACCGAAATGAAAAAAAAGAAGAAGAGAGAAACAAAAAGCACTACAAACATTTATTCTTGTGATCATCTCATTACATTAGGCCGCTAGAGACGCACGGCGTTGTATCACGAAACTTCAAAATGATGTCTAGTCACGAACTGTCTCTAGGCGTTAGCGGCGGGGGAAGGCGGGAGGGAAAACACGAGGCAACAATCATGTCAGTTGGTTGCGGTAACACGCGTCCAATTTTAGTAACCCCCAGCAACAAGTTCGAGGACAATCCGTAAGGGAGGCCATGGAATGCTGAAGTTAATGAAAGGACGGATTAATTATCAAGGAAATAATACCAAGGACTAAGTTGTAATTAACGGGACGTAAAAATATCAGTATTAGTCTCATAAAAGTTTTATCTGATTGTAGATAAGGTCACGTGTCCTTGCCCTGGATGGAGTCACTGCAACTCCGAATGAAATAAAATAGTCCAGCGGTTCCCAATTCCGTTCGCGCACATTTTATGTTACCTTGCGGAACAAACGCGAGCTTCTAAGGCGTTAGGGCGTACATTGAAAATGGTTTTGGGCATGCGCAGTGATTTTCTCCTAAAAAATACTTCACTCACCACTAGTTTGCTCTGCATCTGTTTTTAATTATTTATAATTTATTTAACGACGCTTTTTTTCAGTAGCCCAGACTATACAGCGTCGAATCAGGGGTTGATAGTGAATAATGAATTTGAAAGGATGTGGAAGGAAGCGGTCGTACTTTCCTGGAATTTGCCAAGAGGGAGTGAGGAAATCCACTAAAGGCCAGCCTATCTCTTGGCCGAGATTTAAATCAGGGACTTCCCAAATAACACGCAGGAGTGCTAACCACCTGACCACGACGTTCGGTTTATTTTCACTTCAATCGATATTGAATTGTAGGAACGGAAAGGTAATTCAGGCGATTTTCATGCAAAGTTTTGTAAACAATTTTTCAGTAGTCCGTGAATTATTATAAAGACAGTTATTAACATTTTAAAAATGCATTCCCTACTAGAAAAATAATATATAACATATAACTACATCATCATCAACACTGATAATAGAGGCGGAAAGTTCTACCGAAGGTTTAGCACACATCCATACGGCTCAGAAGCCCGGAATCTACAAAACGTCCCTTCATTTAAGGAATTTAATTTTAATATACTAAGGACTGCGTCCTTCCGTTCGTGACGTGGGTGGGCCAAGTTTGAGAACGGCGTTAACCTTAAAAACGCAGGCGTGCTGCGTGCACAAAACTCTCTTGACGGTGAAGTACCTAAGTTCAGGGTGATTAAGTCGAGAAGAATGAGATGGGCGGGACATGTAGCGCGCATGGATGGGGGCAAGAGATGTGCACCAATTATTGGTTGGGAAATCTGAGGGGAAGAGACCGCTGGGGAGACCTAGACGTAGATGGGAGGATAATCTCAGGCGGGATCTATGGGAGATAGGAGTTGAAGGAGACTGGATTTCGTTGACCTAGGACAGGGTCCGGTGGAGGGCTTTGGTTAATTCGGTGATGAACCTTCGGGTTCGGTAAGCCATCTAGATAGTTAGTTAGAAGTACCTAAGTTCCACATCACAGTGGTGCATAAATCTTATTTAGGATGTCACGCTTTTATAAAAAAATAAAACACTTGAAACGCAGAAGGGCCCACGTTAAATTAAGGAGGCAATAAAAAGGCGAGTCCTTGCACTTGGCAACTTCAAAAGTAGTTCCACTTACACTGTCATCCATGTTGAATATGATGGATGGCCCAATTTCGATATCGATTTTTTGGGGGGGCCAAAAACTTCTATTAAGTTACCGCGTCATGAGCAGGGCATTGGCTCAGAATTCGGTACAGTGGAACACGGTAATGAACCTCCTTGGATAGCTGAGTGACTACAAGCTTCCCAAGAACAACTCTGATGATTATTCGGCAGAAAAGGATTGAAAGTGTTTCTCACAGTTTAGTTTAAATCAGATTAAATTCCCAGCGTCACAATCCGTTTTCAGAAAACGACGCTGTGACCATCAAGACGTCCGTATATCAATTTGATCCGATGTGGAGGAAATTATAATAACATCATTCTGAATAGGCCAGTTCTAGTTACACTTCTTTTTGAATTTTGCTCACTTGGATTTAGATTTTCATTCTGATTGGGTGAATGTTAATTTTATTACGATATCCATTTAATTTGGCTCGTTCAGATTTAATCCCTTTAAGTGACAATAAATTGGGACTAACTGTTAGAGGTCTTTCTCCTTCAAGTCTACAAAACCAATGAAGTACGCGTAACAAACATACCGGATTAAAAGCCTTTTAAAATTCAATGGTAATTAAGTCTTTTTATACCTTTAATTTTTAATATTCGTACATTTACCTCAATTCTCCTTTGTCCCTTATTCATCTCCATTTCAGTTCATATTGCCATACATCGCTATTCCCTCCCCCTTTGGCGTATTTATCACCGTCCCTAATTCTACCGTTTTTTTTAAATTTTTTCATCCCTTCTACATCTACATGTTTCGGCCTTTCTCGCCCATCCTTACTACAGCATCCCAAATTTCACTTCACACTCACATAGTATAGTTTAACTGTCAGATTTCCCGTGCCAAATTTCATCAAAATCAGTCCAGCGGTGCTCGAGTTGAATAACTGTAAACTCACCCCAACAAAATTACGTATTTTTAGGTTAGGTTACCACACAACAATTGACCTGTAATGACACGCACATACATACGTAAGTAGACACGATAGTCGCTTTTCTTCTGTAATCTTCAAGTCTTAAAGAACAAAGCAGTTTGTCTTCGTTCTAGACCGTTCTCCCGGAGCCTTGCGCATATTAAAACGTTGGTCTGTTAATTTTGACAGTTAATATCGAAGATTAGTGAAATCGAAACAGCAGATCCAATTTGTCTGTGATGTTTGTTTTGCGTGCTGCATTTATTGATGGGCTGTGTGGCGGCAACAAATGTCCGGAAGGGCGGAAATGTGGAACCACCATCCATCAACAGCTGTTTGCGAAATTTTGCGCAAATGACGAGAAATAAGTCATCCCTCAGCTACAAAGCAAGCCGCCATTTTTGTGCGGTTAGACTTATCATTATTTTCTTACTTACAGGAATAAAATAAAATTGAAAGATTCATGAGAAATGTCCGTCATTTTTAAGACATATCCAGCGGACATAAATATAAATATTGCGGATTATAAGAATCGACGCGTACATCCATTTCCTTAAAAAAACACTCTGGATTTAAGGTTTCCTCAGCTATTTAGATCCTCACGTGACAGCCACTGCAAATCGCGTCATGGTTGAGCGATCAGCTCTCCTACTTTGTCTCCTCGAAGCCCTACGTTCAGATCTCATCTAGGAAGCCAGCGATACATATCGACGTGTATTAAAGCTACGCTTCTCTCATCTGAAGTTCGAACATGATCGATTAATCGATACAAGAGAAACAAACGACCTTAATGACAGAATTCATAGAAGTTACATGCTATGAAATTAAAAGTATGCTCCAGTATTTTCCAATTGAGTTCTTCATTAATTTACGTAATTTCTTTTCACTTTCCTTCACACAAAATAAAAATGCACAAATAGAGTATCACACTACATAGACCATCAAATTATATTTTCTTGTATTTAAGTAAATTAATGGGATCCAAGGGAAATTTCAATTTTATTTAAAAGTAGCGTTATATTGCGAACAGGTCAAATGTGTGTGGGTTTTCATTGTTATCTGTGAAGAAATTAATGAACTTCCAATTGCTACTGTGATAACCGTCAAACAATTATATACGCTGAGAAAAGCTGTGGATAACGAAATTTGTTAGCCAAACGACGAAACAAAATACATTGTCGTCAACAATTCAGATCATAAGACCGAATTTCCCATAACAGCGTTTCTATGGCAAGGGCTACAATAATTTAAGCATGAAACTCTCTTATAGTCATGTAAACGTGATCTCCATAAGGTCGAGAATCATAAAAATTCTCCTTTTGATATAGCAAAACTCTGTTTACCAAAAATGTTGTAGTTCTTAATGGTATTTCTACTTTATAATCTTACCAGTTTCTTGTACAAAGAGCTGTTTCTGAGAAAATCGGTAAGTTGCGCTTGAGTTTACATAAAAAGAATCGAGAGCTAATAAATGAGAAATCCAATTATTTCAAATGGGACTATTAATTGTGTTCCATTCTGTATATACATGTTACGTGTTTCGGCGACGTTTTTTTCAAAATACAGTTCTGTTTGTCAAAGACATCAAGGGGCTATGGTTAGGAATGCTGGATAACTTGCCATTACGTTGAGGTCAACAGGTCCGGATGGACCCGGAGGACTCCGGAACTCAACTGAACTGCCGGAGCTGCGCCTCGGTTTATTGATGTTCAGCCGGAGGATTCCGGTCGTGGTCTCTCGTCGGTCTGGACTCTTCCGTACGTTCTGTTGCTCCCCTGCAGTGCACGATGTGTCTTCTTTTACGATGCATTTAATGTCGTCCATCTTGTATGTTGCTACAATACGGCGTGGAAAAAGAACATTGAAAAATTACGATCTGGAAGCGGCCTCTTATTTTTTTTAAAAATAACCGCAGAAGTTCGTTCCAGGTAAGAGTTTATACTTTCTGGAACTCACTATTATTAACTTCTCAAGTGTAATCAGTTCACGTAACTCGAAGAGGTAGAGTTTGTCTTGCGAGGCAGAGACTCTGAAATGGGCTGATGGTCCTGTAACAGACAACATGAAAGCGAAACCTGTACATCGCTAAGTAAAACCCCAGAATACGACCAGGGATAAAAGTGAAATTCAATGCAAAGTTTTCAAATATACAGAGCGTAAGTGATTTATGATTTATTCAGAAACACGAACAAATATGGGGCAAAATGTTTTGTATAGCGACGTCTTTAAAAGTAATCCAACTTTTATTTATTTAGAAAAATATAACATAAGAACATGTCGGGTTTAATTCTCGTCCTGGACCCTCGCTAACCTAACCGAGAGTTATCATGTTTTTTTTTCCCAGTCCCTTCTGGAAAATTCCAGGATAGAACGTAAAATTAGACCACGACCGCTTCCTTCCATATCCAATCCCATCATTCGACGTTGGTCTGAGCTGCTCGCAGTGTTGATACAGAAACTACAAAGACGTAAATAAAATGTGAAATAGGTCTAAGTGAGCGCACAGAATTAAAGTACTTTGAGGCGTAAATTAAGCCGGGTTTTCGATATTTTAGTTGTCTGTTCCCCCCCCCAACATTGGGCCCTTGGCGTGACTTATCGCACAGCGTACTTACTTAACGTGGAGAAACAGCAAGTTGGCCTCCTGTTAGCAACTTCCCTTCGGCTGAATATGATGCCAGTGTTGGTGCCTGACAACTAAATGGGTACCGCACCCAAAACTCCCTCCTCTAACCTTCCGCACTTACACACATTAACATTACGGGGAGGATCGCCACATTATCCTCTTATGACACAAAACATTTATTGCTGATTGTACAATCTTCTGTAACTGCTGTTACTGAAATGTTACAAACTTTTCACCATTCATCATTCCCATGCAGTTTCTTGATTTCCAATGTAACCTTTGGCAATCAGTGGTACTCCAAATCATTTGGGGGGGGGGGGGGGGGGGGGGACATGAACCGGTATTAGTTACCATAGTAACACTTTATATCTATGAAGCGCTGAATTGCAAAACCAACGATACTGGGTTTCTCAAAGTCAACTTCCCTGGAAGTCAAACTGGTACAGGCCTGTGGTAAACTTTCCAACGGGGCTGAAGTTCACTTAGCATTGGTAAATTAAGAAGAGCGAAATTAAACAAGGGGCTTAAAATTACATTAAACAAAAATAAAATAAATTATCTCTCAATCGAGAAAGGTGTATACAATTTATCTCTCGAAAGGAACAGCATTATAAAATATTATGATCATTTTATACATTTGGGGATGAAAATAAATGAGCGTGGGAGGGAAGATTCAAGAGTTCAGGGCAGAATAAATCTTTAGAAGCTATGAGATTTGAACGATAAATGCTGTAGTATGGAATAAGAGGGTTACAATAGAAACTAAACAAAATATATACAAAATAATTATGAAAATATTGTATTATATGGCTGAAAAATACGGCATTTTAAGAAATAGACGACTACTGGCGATGGAAAATGATTTCTGGGGACGATAAAGGAAATACAAGATTCAGAATCACATAAAAAACGAATCGGCTTACAAAATCCTATTTTGCATTGCTTATGAAACAATTACTACCTGAATGTTACTTACATTGCAGTCAACTTTGGGAAACGTAGTGTGCCTCAGTGTTTTTATTGACTGAAAATGGTTGAGCAAAACAACAGGTAGACGCTACAGGTTTCAACATCACCACGCCTTTAGGATCGCTGATAAAACGTCAGAATTCATTAATTCAAGGGAAATCCTCGACCGAGTAAATACTCCTCCCACCCATGATCTCTAATTACAGGCCATTTTCATTAATTTGTGGATGTGCAGAGTACACGCCTGCTACATCCCAGAACACACGGCATAATCCTGTATTGAAAAGCACGACGGGAGGTCACTCATTATTGGGAAACGAATGTATGACCTCGCGGACGAGAAGGAAAGGCTGACATTGTTTTCCGAAAGATAGAACACTCATCGCCCCTGATAGTGGAGGCAGTAAGGACCTCTGAAACGTCGGTAAACTTCTACCAGACTACACGGCGCTACAACCCAGAAAAGAAACTTCCGGAAATATGACTTATATACTTCGCCATGTTTGTAATCGATAACAGATTCCATATGAAACTGTCGATACATATTTATACGCTCAGTCATATTTACACTCGCCGTTAAGCCGAATGGTAAATGTAGATTTGGCGTGGATTCATGAAAAGCCTATTGTTTAATGCCCTCAAAAACAATCTACCTTTTTATACTTTGAAACGATTTCGTTTATGAAAACACATTACAACAATCAAACAATGACGCTGTATTAATTCGCGTTTGTGGCCTTTCAACCTTAACATTTCGCACTTTTTCAAATATAAAAGAACATCAATAGACGATTGTAACTTCCACAATTAATTCTGTCTCTGATGGCTCATATTTTGTTGGATTTAAATGAAATGTAATAACTTAGGAGGACAATGTTAACTGGAAGTTACACAAGATGGAGACTGAACCAAAAGGTTCAAACCTCACTGGCAATCTTTTGTAACCACGAACTTACAGGTCCCACAAAAGCGGGAAATTTATGCATCATACCATATTTTTAAAAAAATCCTTCAAAATTCGAAATGTGAAATTCATAATTTTGGAACAATGTACTTCTGAACAACGTTAGGGGCCTCACGGGGTTAAAAACGTAGAACGCTCTTTCGGAGTATCAATGGAATATGCTCTACGTCGTACTCATGAGTAATTAATCAAACAGCCGTACGGGTGGAGTACATGAAGCATATTCTTTATCAACGAAGAGCCACACACACGAAACCTGATCTCCGTATTGACTGGGAACGACTATACACGTTAATGGACTGGACCCCAACTTTGCTTTTGTGCAGTGTGAAAGGTGGCAATGTAATTACTAGCTTCACGGAGCAGGTTCATCTTGATAAGCTACAAGTCGCTCAGCTGGTTAAGAAACTCACAATGTTTTACAGAACCCTAAGTTTCATTATGGTGTTCAGAACGGACCGTCAATTAACCTTGTCCTGAGCCAGATCAATCCATCTCTCACACATAAGCAACCAATGAGATGATAAAGTTGCGTCATATTGTGATAAATATATATTTGTTTAAATCTTGTTGATAAAGTTGCGTCATATTGTGATAAATATATATTTGTTTAAATCTTGTATTTGTTTAAATCTGTTTAAATCTTGTTGATAAAGTTGCGTCATATTGTGATAAATATATATTTGTTTAAATCTTGTTGATAAAGTTGCGTCATATTGTGATAAATATATATATATATAAGCAACCAAGTTTCTCGTTACGTAATTTTATCCCTTCTCGATTTCGTTCATTTGTCTTAGGGCGACACGTTTCTCCTACGCCATTTTTTTAACGTTGAATTTGTCTTTCAAAAGACAGCATAGAGTTAAAAGTTAAAATTAAAGAACGAAAATTTTGTCTTACCTGCTCAGTTCCAAAAATTTAGGCGTACGTAATGAACTAAACCTGTACGCGTCGCACAATGAACGTATCCCCCCTCACAATCTGATTATCCAAGATTCACCTTAATGTTATCCTCCAACTTGTTTGATTTTCAAGAGGTTATCCATAAAAATTTTATGTGCAGCTCTTGCCTCCTTCAACCTAATCAAATTTCTAGTCCCTCTAGCCTCCATATTTCACACGACAAAGTAAAAAGTTTTCAAACTGAACACAAAATGTACTCGTCTTCTGATTTCATCCTGAACCTTGTTTCAATTTGTTATTATTGTACCCACATGCTTATATACTTAAATATCCAGTTTATATACACTCGTAGTTCATATTCGTTTGCTTCAATAACTTGTACGTAAATTATCTGACGTCTCTCCTTGTCTTTACTAGATACATGTGAATGACAGTACATTCCGGGAAACGAAGGGTGGACCCCGGAGTGAGCAGTAGCCGAGGGACCTACATCCTGATTCAATTCATCTAAATCCTAGGAAAATAAAGTCAGTTCCATAAAGACTATTTATTATTACAGTCCATGATTACAACAGAATTGGCACACATACCTGAAAACATTCATCGTTCGTGGGATGGGTGTTTGCGTGCCTCTCTTGCGGCGAGTAGCGTGTGTCCGTCCGTCCGTCCAGCAAGAGTACAAACACGTACTCCACTGGAGTAAAACAAATGACGTATGTTTTATTTTGCGTATCTCACTGTTCATTTATTGCAGATAAAATCAGTCGCTCACGGCGAAGATGTCGATGTTGGCTTTAAGGGTTGACGCAGCTTGGACTTGTAAGCAGACACGGACGTTTCGGAGAAACATACTGTCTCCATTCTATATTCTAGCACCATGTTTCAGAGGATGAGGTGAAGAGGGTGCTGCTGTCTAGTGCAGTGGTATTCAACCTGGGGTACGCGTACCCCCGGGGGTATTTATTTTTATTTAGTGTTCTGTCTGACGACAGGTCCATATGAACAGGATCGTTCCATCCTTTTCTCGGACTGGGACCTGTTCATATACGTTCTTGGCAGATGATCCATAAGTGGTTTGCCATTGCCTTCTTCTGTGTGTGAATGGAGTAATTGTTGGGATGCCACGGAGGAAAACTCCGTGTTGCCTAGACCACGGCCTTGCCCAACACAAGTTATAAATTCGGGCACCGCCTGGAATCGAACCCGAGACCCCAGGATTACAAGGCCAGCGTTCTAACCGCTAGACCACCGTGGCGTTCCCCCGGGGGTACGCGAAGACTTCTTAGGGGGTACGTGAAATTTAAAAAAAGAAGATAAACACTGAATAATCAGTAATGTAATTTATTTTAGATGTAGATTATATACTTTGTTTAACTTGAATTATACACCAACAACTTTGGGGGTACAAAGTTGAAGAGAAATTATATCTGGGGGTACGCGAACAAAAAATGGTTGAATACCACTGATCTAGTGGAGCAATTTTGATACATTGTTTCATACACTGGGTTGCATTCAATATTCGTATCGTTCATGCCTCGATATCTTTTATTGATTCCGAATACATAATATGTTTCCAAAACATTTAAGGTTCTTTTTCTACATCGTATTACAGTCTTCAAGGTATTAGATGTGCAATTAAATTACATTTTATAAGGATTTAAAAATGTATCTTATGCTATTGATTACTGTCACAAATATTTACATGAAAGTGGTGAAACTTACGTAAAGGAAGTGTAACAATTATCCTGACGATGATTAAATTTTAATCGAAGCGTGTTGCTCAGAAAATATTGACACGACTCATACAGTTCTGTAAACACAATAAAAATGTATTTCGACTGACACAGATGTCTGAAGCGATGGCGAAGAAACATAATGGATACCAACGATATCTTGAGCCCTGAAGATGGAGATTGTTTCTTCGAAACCTTGGTATCTACCTTTAAGTACACATGCAATTGCAACCCAGAACACCAACATTGACAATTGTTGTCTTCTGGGTTGTAGCAAAATCCTACTTATCGACGATTTTAACGCTGATGACAATAAAATAACGTACTACACAAAGACAGGCGAAATTGTCATTTAATTTCGTCACTCACCACAAGAAATAATCAAATAATTTAAGTAGTCTAATATTTTTACTATTTCCACGAAAAAACAAGGATATATATTGATCACCTGATAAAACACGCTCCGCAAGACAGATCCAGCTCTGTGGAGTCACGCATCATTTGTATTCTTTTGTTTACTTTTGAATCGATTCCT